CGATATTTCTTGATGTACCGAGCTGCAGTTGACTGAGAAATCGAAAGAATTTCGCCAATTTGTCGGCTTGATTTGTGCTGAGACGCAAGCTCCTTGATGCGTTCTTGAATACGCTTGGACATGGCTTTGACCATTGTAATGCAGGTAGAGAGAGAAAAATGATGAAAGGAGAAATGAGATGGAGTAGGACTGGGCCGAGATTGCTGCTTTTATATGACTTTTTCGCAAACACCAATAATCGCCAAAATATTGACTCACCCCCCGGCGACTATGAAGACATGTATATTGGTCGCGAACTGATCGATTATGGTGAATTTTTGGAATTTTATGTAAATGAGGTTGCATAATAACATTAAAATTTTGTGTGATTCGAGTGAATATTGCCAGAGATATTCGACTTTGAATAGAAATTTACGGAACATTGACTCATTTTTAGAGGCCAGTGTATAATTAAAAGTAAAATGCGAGTGAGAGCGTTCCTAGTTGTTCAAGCACTGAGTTTTAAATTCCTGTATACATCCTCAGGCGTATATTAAATGAAGTGAATAGATTTCTACAACAGCAGTGAGTTCTTGAGTTGTCCACTTGTTCACGGCTTAAAACTCCAGGGTCCACACTATTATCTGAAACAAAGAGGACAGTGATATTTGCTATAGTTCCAAAGTAATGAAAAAATAAAATAGATCTATGTAGTAGTTGTGGTTGTAGTGGTTCATCATGTGTCGTCAAGTTGACAGCAGTCCACAATAATATAAAGCTGCTTTATTTCCTCTGGCACTTCAAAAATGGTGTCATCGTTTATATTTATTTTAGCGAAGGCATTTCTTTCCCAGCCTTATTTTTTCTGTTTTGCTAGCTGGATAGTGGAAAGTAGTGCAGAAATGTTGGGAAACATACGGCATAAAATAGGGAAATGAGTATTAGCTGAACTGAACTGAACTGAACATATTTATTTATTTAGGTAATCAAAATAAATATTTAATTTACTCACGGAAACCATTTTAAAAGCACTTTTATGTTACATAGGCCTTGTTGAAGCCCAAAAAGTATTATATATTTTTTTTTCTATGCCTAGAATTCAGGACTGAAAGCGTAAAAATGTAAGTAACAGGAGTTAAAAGATGTGGAAAAAGGGAAAATTATTGCCTTTCATGCAACAGGGCACTTCCTGTTGGATCCAACTTCCAATCAGGCTAATGCTATATATCCTTTTTGTGTTTCTGACAGTGCAGTGCGCTACATACTTCAGAAGCCAAAAATCTATAGGTTCGTCAAGAACCATCCGTAATCTGCTAGGAACCCAGTTTTTAGTCTTCGCGATAAATGCTAAATAATCTAAACATTTTGTTCTGACTGCTTCAAGACAGCCGCTGAAATCGGAGCTAAATTCCGAGGAGACGGGAAAGGAAGTCGGAAAGTCAATGATTAAAGGAACCCTCAGAGAGGCGGGTCCATAAGGGTATTGCTAGAAAGAAGCCTCTTTTGAAGCCACACCCCATGCAGCTTAAAAAAGGAGAACGGGTCTGTGACTGAAGACTAGGAAGTTCTCTTCAGTGACGAGAGCAAGTTTTGTTTTTTCCAATCTGTTGGAAAGCCTTACAGCCATTGAACAAGAGAAGAAACGAACGTATGATCCCATCGGCAAAGAAACTGATGCCTGATTTCTGCTTCAAATTTCAGCAAATTGGAAACTCGAAGAACACCCTTGAGGCTCTGCCAAAACTTCCTGAGGGTTCCTAAGGCCTAACAGTACAATGTGGATTAGTACATTTACCCGCCATTGTCCCAGGACTATCTCATTGAGAATCTCTGAAACAGATCGTATGAAAAAATAGCAAAAGATGAGGGGGAAACCTCTGGGAAGTTCTCCGAGAAGAGTGGTTACTCTTCAATATTTGCTGATAATAAGGAAGGCACTCAAATTTTTCAGTTTCGGAAAAATAAATTTCTAGATAAATTCTGAATAATTTCTGAATTAAGTTGATTTTCTGTATATAGAACGAACTTTTTTTTAAGGGTGCGCAAATATTTCTGGGCGCCACTAAATGAAGTTCAACATCCCATAAGTCTGATTGTAGCCATATGTCCTAAAAAAAAATAAATGAGTTTAATTCGTAATTCCCTTTGCCGTATATATTGCCATAGATAAATATTGCTTTTTCAAAAGGACTGGGAAAACCCAAAGGTAAAACCAGAAACACAGCAAAAGCCTAAGGACGAAAGAAACCTCCAACAAACAGCAAGAACAGGAAGCAGGAAGATCTAAATGCGGCAATTATCACAGTAAGGTCTGGCAGGATGATATTTAAACGGAACTCCGAAATATCGGTGGCGCAAAAAAAAAAACTGTTTAATGCTTATTGAAACCCGTTATGGATAATCTGCTTTGTTCATAATTTTTTTCATGTCACATTGGAAACACTTCAAAATTTCTTTCCTGAAAATTTCGTGTCTGAATTAAAAATAAATATTTCAAAGTAGAGTCAAAATATACTTTCTCCGCGTATGAGGTGGATGGAGTTTCAGCACTGCTTCTATGATTTCTCCCCCCTGACGCCATGAAGACTGCTTATTGCACTGTCCTCGTTGTATGCAGTATTGATTATGATACTTAGACTTCCAATATACGCAGTATTTCATGAAACCATGAAAACCCAGGAAACGGTTCCTTTTATGACTCCACTTTGAATAGCTGTCGCTTTTTATTCATACACCCAAGACACAAAACTTTCAATAAACAAATTTTTTAGTGCATTCAATATGGTATGGAAAAAAATTCGTGAATCCAGATTACAGCGCATTTCATGAAACGTCAAACAGGATGCTTATTTTTTGTACCACCTGGCATATGGATATGCCACGAACAACATACGAGGGTCACTCAATAAGTTATCTACCTGGATAAGAAAGAAACATCCGAGGGGGAAAATAACACTTTCTTTTTCAATGTAGTCACCTTTTGACTCAACACACTTATTCCACTTTGATTCCAAGGATTGTATTCTCTGGGAATAGAAGTCAACCATGAAAGTCCATGAAACCAATCAGAAACGGCAACTTTCAGCTCTTCATTGCATGAAAATCTTTTTCCCCGCAAAAATTTTTTCAAGTGTCTGAACAGAAAATAGTCACAGATCCGGGCTGTAGGGAGGATGGTTTAGCTCCTGAAAGCCACACTCCCTCACTGCTGGCTCAACTTTCCATGATTTGTGGACGGGTGCGTTGTCAAGGAGAAGAAGGACCCCCCCTTGACAACGTTCCTCTGCGTTTTTCCTCGATGGCATCCTGGAAATTTTTCATGGTGGTAGCATAGGAATCGCCAGTGATGGTACACTCGTCTGGCATGAACTCAAGCAGCAGTAGTCCCTCACTGTCCCAAAACACAGTGGCCATAATCTTTCTTGCAGATTTCTGAACACGAAATTTGCGATGCGTTGGCGATCCCTTGTGCTTCCACTGCATGGACTCCTGTTTGGTTTCGGGATCCCAGTGATGAACCCGAGTTTCAGCACCAGTTCTGGTTTCCCCGATTTGTTTAGAAGTTTTCCTTGCAGATGTCAGATCTGTTCTGAGCTGGAGTCAGCATTCTTGGGACCCATCGAGAACTGACTTTGGACATGTGTAATTTTTCATGAATGTTGATGAACCCAAGTTTCATCACCATTTACTATTCTGGGAAAAAAAGTTTCCCCGATTTGTTTAGAAGACTTCAAGTTTTCCTTGCAGATGTCAGATGTGTTCTTCTGAGCTGGAGTCAGCATTCTTGGGACCCATCGAGAACTGACTTTGGACATGTGTAATTTTTCATGATTGATGTGAATCACTGTGCCCTCTGAAATCCCCAGTTCATGAGCTAAAACCGAGACTTTGGTGCGACGATCCTCTAGTATCGCACTCTCCAATTTGTCACACATTTCTTGATCGGAAGCCTCCACAGGGCGCCCCGACCTTGGGTCACCTTCAATTGACTCTCTTCCCCAATTAAACTGCTTCCTCCAAAATTTAACTTGGAAGTAAGAAGGCGAAGACACACCATAAACGTTAGACTTACGTTCATGAATCTCCTTAGGTGCTTTCCCTTCTTTGGTGAGGAATTTGATAACTGAACGATGTTCAACTTTCGCAAAGAAAAGAAATCTAATGCGCTANAAGAAAAGAAATCTAATGCGCTACCACTTTGAACGGACTTGAGCCACTGAGTTGGTATAGTGGTGGGGCACTCATGAGACCTGTCGAGACATGTCACAGCAGGCACAGGCCTGTTGCTCATAACTTTCATATTCTGGTAGATAACTTATTGAGTGGCCCTCGTATATATCATGTGGATGTTTCGCAGAAATAACTCTATTGTGAGGTAGGACATTAAGGTTGAAATTCGTTGGTATTTCTTTCGCTCTACTCCGAATAAGTGCCAAGACGTCTTTTCATTTCTTTGGCATACCGAAGTTGAAAAGTTACATGTGTGAATATTCATGCCTCCCCTGTATTGGGAAAAGTGACATTGCAGCAACCTCACCTGCGCCTGTGGCCCCGACGACCATGAGCACCTTCGTCGGTCCGCTGTTGGGTCTCCGCCTGCCGACTTCGTACTTCGCGAGTCGATGGGCGGCGTCTTCCTTCACTTTCCTCTTTGGAAGTTCGCGGATCCAATGAGACGGCTTGGGATTCTCGTTCGCCTCCTGAGCCGGCGATGGATGGGAGCGGCTCCCGCGGTACCGGGTGGAACTGGTCTGCACCGTTAAGAGAGTGTGGGTTCCAGTTTTACATTTTACTTCGGGGATTGTGGGAGGTTGACGATGTTGCATTGAATATGTTATGCACATACTTATGTGAGGCGATAGAAATTACTGTTCAATCTCACAAAAGCTGAATGGAAATATTCCGTGATCTAAGACGATGGCTTAGAAGAGACTTAAAAGCTTTCAGACATGCACCATTTCAGTGCGGGAGCAGTAGTAGACATTTTGCTAAAATTGATGCCTTTTAGGCGTAAGTCAAGCTTTCTGACATTACCAGCTGATTTTGCCAAATATTTTACAGCTCCAGTTTTATAAATTCTTTGATTACCTGGTTCTCATCCCGAACGGTTCGGAAATCCCAGCTGACAGTCGGACTAGGTGGCCCAATACCGAGGTCACTGGATGCAGCTACCTATGGATCAAAACCACAGAAAATATTAAGGAAATTTATTTAGATCTTTGAATCGATTCGCTACTTTTGCGCAGCATCTGGCCACAGAGGTGAAAGCAATTCTTCAATCGGGAAATATGAACGAAAAACATGTGAATGAGGGCATCGTGCCTCATCTTAAAATGGAACGATGAAAGCTTTGGTGATGCCTAAATTCCAATCGTTCAAATAGGCAATTTACCTGACTGTTTGCGGAAATGAACTCCCGATGGGATAATGTATTGCATGAAGTAAGAATAAGCGCTCATTGTGATGGCAATTGATTGACTTGTTTTACATCAAGGACATCACTATGAGCTGTATTCAATCGTGTGGCGAGATTTTGCGTCCCATGAGGATGGACCCGTCTGCATCAGTTGAAACTGACCTTGAAGAAGTATTTCTGCCCTGGAACCAGCCCAGGAATTCTCGCGACCGTCGCCTCGGCGGAGGCGCATTTCCAGCGACCCTGCGGATCGCCCTGATCTCGGAAAAAGACGTCGAACTGTCGGACGCACTCGGCGCCGACGTCCGGGGCGGTCCAGCGAACTTCTACGTCCGCGCCGTCGGCCGAGACGCGGAGGTCCCTGGGTTCCCCCGGAGGGACGAACAGGGACATCCCGTCGATTCCTCGGCTGAGCCTGATGAGGCAGGGACCGTCGAATCCGGCGGCTTCTGCGGCGATGAAAATGAACGGGTTTCCCTGTTCCCTTGCGTAATGAAGGAATATGCGCTGGTAGTCGAACAATTGGAGGACTTCGTCGTGGTTACGATAGACCGAGGGAGAAGTCTCCAGGGGAAGATCCGGTTCGTGTCCGTTCAAGAAATAGTTGAGGCCGTCGAGGTAGGGATCGACGTCGTCGAGACCTTTATAAAAGAAGCATGCCGTCGGCCTCGTTTCGCTGAGGTGAAATGCGATGGAGGCGTCCTCAATTTCCACTCCGGAACGAGTGAATTTATCCAAGAGTTCGTCGAAGTTCCTCGCCTCGTCTTCTTTTTCCGCCAGCCACGACGCGATGCGACCCGGGTGAAAGGGGGAATTTAATAGCCATCTGTCGAGAGTTCGGTCGCCGTGCAAGAGCTGCAAGGCTTCCTCGATGAAGCTGTCGCAGAGGCCGAGCTGGCCTTGCGTCGAGCCGAATCCGATGCTCTCGCGGAGGATCCGCAGCTTTTCCTGGATCTCACACAGCTGGGTCGCCAGGTCGTCGTCGCCCGCGTCGGGATTCGCCGTTTCCCGAGGAATTGTTTCTCCTTGGTGGATGGGGTCTGGTGGCTTGGGGGTGGCTGAGGAGCGGATGCCTGGCTCCCCGAGGGATATTCGCAGTGCTTCTTCCAGTTCAGTTTTTTGTCGCAAGATGTCTTGGATGTTGAAGCCGCATCTGGCGAGAAAGAATGTCTTCCACTCTTGTTTTCTTCGGTTTAATTTGGCGCTTGCTCGGACGAGTAGTTTTCGGCACTGAGGGTCCATGACGTCGTGGTTGAGCTCGCACCCGCCGCACGTTCCCATGACGTCACCGGCGCAAAGGTGCATCTGGTTGCATTCGTCGGCGTTGCAGCGGGTGCCGAGGTTGTATTCTTCGCAGAGGTAGGGGGCCACGGCGTCTGGTTTGAGGAATTTTATCAGGTCCCGGGGTTCGACGTCTTCCAGGTTCCACGTTCGCAGCAGGCGCCGGTTGTGTGCCGTTTCGACCTCGTGGCCATCGTCGCACTCGGGATCCGCGCAGAGGCCCGCGAGGAATCTCGGGCAGATGTGCAGGCCCTGGCATCGGTCCCGGTCGCAGCCGTCGGGGCTCGCGTGGTCCTCGCAGATCGACAGCTGCTCCTTCTCGGAGTCCGTCGAACTGCTACGACTGGCCTCCATGACCGAAGGATGTTCGTGTTCGCCTCCCCGAAAGACTCGTCTCCGGGCTTTCCTATTAAAGGAATTCCCTGATTTGAGAAGAAAAATTCGCAAAAATTCGCGACACGATGATTCGAAATATCTGGAAACCAACCCGGTATACCGCGGAGTTTCTTTCCCTTGCCTTCCCTGCCGGCAGACCAATTCCTTCTACCTCCTTTCCCACCGTCCTGGACAAGAATAACAGGATCGTTAAATACTCGATGACTTAAAAAAAAAACGAAGAAGTTTCGACGCGACGCGTTAGGAGCAGGCCTTGAAAATCGTTCCCGTTTCGAGTCCTGATTGACTTTCCCTGATTTGTATGCGCTTTCTCGCTCGTCCGGCAAATTGTAAGGAAGCTACGCTGTGAGCATTTCAATGAATATTGCTATTTTCCCGAACTGCGTGCATGTCAAACATCGGTTGGGGATGTGCTGGTTTCAAGTAAGAGGTACCACGTTGAAACGTTTAGCGGTTTAGCGAATCATCATATATCGAATCACATTTTTCAATAATATATATATACATATATATATATTTTTTTTTTTTAAGGCGATAACCGGCCATTTGGGCATTTGGAAGGAATCTCCGCAATGAAAATTTAAAATGTTTAAATGTGAAACATTTTAAAATATGACAATTTTAAATATTTTAAATATTTTTGGCGACAGTGAATTTCCGACATCATTTTGTGATTCGTGGTAGCCTGCCAGTTTCTTTCGTTCGAAATGGCAATGCATTTTTCCAGCACTTCACAGAAGTGCGTTTTAATCCCGTTCCAAGAGAGAGAGGGAGAGGGAGAGGGAGAGAGAGAGAGAGGGAGGGAGAGAGAGAGGGAGGGAGAGAGAGGGAGAGAGAGAGAGAGGGAGAGAGAGAGGGAGAGAGAGAGGGAGAGAGAGATAATTCTCGGAAGCGGATTTCCCGAGACAGGGTCATCAGTCGTAAACAGAATAGCTGGAGCTGTCTCTTATCGCTGAGACGAACCAGTGTTGCCGGAGTCGCCGGAGTTGCCACGTACGCGAATCGGCTCGAGAGGCGTGGCGTTTCGCAAAATGCACAGTTCCTGCGAGTTTCACGATTTCAAGTTTGGAATTTCCAAGTATTTCTCGGTTTTTGGGAACGGGGACGGAATGCGGTTGAAACATGGCACGGCGATGTGACGTCTCTCGGCTTTTATTGGAGCCGTTCGGGGCAAAGGCGGCTCCGTTCGGGGCAAAGGCGGCTCCGTTCGGGGCAAAGGCGGCTCCGTTCGGGGCAAAGGCGGCTCCGTTCGAGGGGGAATCCCAGGTATTTATTCCTCAATCGCCCTCATCCGCTTTTTTGCTTACTGGTCGCAGAGCGACCTGTAAGCAGGTAAGATTTGAATCTATTAAACGCTTCGGCAAGAACCCTGGGATGATGGACGAAAACCATCTCACTGAGGAATTCGCATCTGAACCGAGACATTTTTTAATTGTCAAAAAATTGGGCCATCTGTGATTGACATCGCTTGGGAGATATGAAATGCTTATGATATTTTAAGCGCTCAGAGAAAAAGGGAAAATGAAGCCGATTCAAAGGGGCAGCTACCTCTCTCTCACGGGCAGAGACCGCTGAATCGTCGATAACCAGCGGCCGCGGCCGCTGGTTATGACATATGACATATGGCTGTCTCGATGGGCGGAACATCTGGAAATCGTCCAGGCCTTCAATGAATCCCAGAAATAGGTCCAGGCAATGCATCTCAATATATTTTCAACGATGCAACCAATTTAA